CTTCAAACACCAGTAAAATAGTGGTACAGAGCAAGAAAATAATATTTATTTAATAGGAGATATGGGGAGCAGAAATTAGGAGGACTGAGCCACAACAAGATTTATTTCTCTTTTAAAAAAAAATGCATGTGAAAATAAGTCTCCTAAGCATAAAGAAGGTCCCCTAAGCATAAAAAAAAGGTTTGCGTTTTAATTGTACCTGCCTGAAAAGCATCCTTAAACACTGGTAAAATAGTGCTACAGAACAAGAAAATAATATTTATTTAATAGTACATACAGGGACCAGAAATTAGGAGGTCTGAGAACAAAATCTGACCTGGGTGGGAAGGGAACTGTTCAGATAATCTTAATTACAGCAGGTACAGGGGAGGAGGGAAAATCACCCCTTTTTTAACACAGATGCTGAAACAGCTGGGAAATGCAGTTAGAAAAGTGAACCAAAACCTAATTATTCAAATTATTCACCTTTGGGACAAGCAGATCACTGTCTCAGCACACGGGAGGGCTTTTCCTGAGCCCTGAACCCACAAGCTCTGAAATGAAAGCACCTCGGGCTGGCCAAAATAAAGATTGGGGAGAAAAGAAACTCTGGAGCTGGCTGAGGGTTGTGGTGACTTCTAACAAGTGCTGTGATCTGGAAGCTGATTTTGCTGTGGGTGGATTTTTACGGAAATCACGCATCATTTAACGTGGGAGGTCATCCTGGAGGTTCCCAATCCTCCTGCAGCGCTCTCCTGAATTAAAAATGAAGATATTTCAGCCTGGACTGGGGTGGGATGGAATTGTTTCCACCAAAGCTCAGGGATTACAGCTCTGTTGGCACGAGGAAAGCAGAGATGTAAAAGCAATATTTGGTTAAATGTCAAAGAGATGAACTCCTGGTACGTTTGGGAGGCTGCAAGGAGAAAATACAGATTGAATAAGACATCACACCTCAGCTCATCACAGAGTCGGGAAATAATTCAAATTGGAAAGGACACGAGATCTCCAAATCTGAGCTCCAGGGCCAACCCTGCTCAGGACTTTGTCCAGTTGGGATTTTATCCAGTTGGGACATTTTATCTAATCGTGATATTTTAGCCAATTGGGATATTTTATTCAGCTATTTCATCCAGTTGTGATGATAATTATTTTATCCAATTGTGATATTTTATCCAATCATGATATTTTATCCAATTGGGATACCTTATCCAATTGTGATATTTTATCCAATTATGGTGTTTTATGCAATTGGGATATTTTATCCAATTGGTACATGTTATTCAGCCAGGATATTTCATCCAGTTGTGATATTTTTTCCAATTTGGATATTTTATCCAATTGTGATATTTTATCCAGTTGTAATATTCTATCCAGCTGTGATTTTTTTTTCCCAATTGCGATATTTTATCCAATCAGGATATTTTATCCAATTGTGATGTTTTATCCAATTGGTATATTTTATTCAGCCAGGATATTTTATCCAGTTGTGCTATTTCATCCAGTTGTGATATTTTATCCAGTTATTGTATTTTATCCAATCAGGATATTTTACCCAGTCGGGTTATTTTATCCATTTGTGATATTCTACCCAGTTGCAATATTTCATCCAGTTGTGATACTGCCCAAAAAGTGAATTTGGGCTCATATCAACCAGGCATTTTACAAGCCACCAAAGGGGTGAGCACATGACACTCATCAGCACAAAATTCAGTGAAAAAAAGGTTGAATTAAATGGATTTATCTAAAAATAATCAGTGAGAATCTAATAATTTTAGATTATATCATCAAAAACAGGCAGATATTAYTGGYTGGGGCAAAAACWCTTTCAATGCTCACATAATTTACTSATTAATAAAATTAGATAAATGGATTTAAATGTCTGCACTAGGAAAAGGAATAAATTAGACTGTAGGTCGCTACATAAATAGAACTGTGATTTTTTCCTGTAAAATGTGTGTTTCTGTTTTGCAGGGGTGCTCACCCTCCTGGCCATGATCCTGTTCCCTGTGAACGTGCAGGGCAGCAGCCTGTCCAGGGAACTGGCCCACGGCTGCTCCTCCTCTCTGCAGACACACCTGAGCTCCCAGCACACCTACGGATATTCCTACTGGATCCTGCTGCTCGTCATCGCCCTCAACATCGCCTCCTTCCTCGTCATCTATTTCTATGACCACGCCACGTATTCCAGGAAAAAGGAGCAGGAGAGACCCATTGAGAAYGCGCCCAAGGATGTGATTCTGTTTTAGGGACAGAGGGTGCAAAGGATGGGGATTTTTTTCATGTGGGCAGCGAATTTCTGCTCACACCAGACTGTGTGTGCACTGTCCAAATCCCAAATTATTTCGAGGGCACAGAAGCCTTTTTTTGGTTTTAGCTGCCTTCAGGAAGATCAAAGACATCGTTTGAGCTGTGTGGGATTTGGGATCTTGAGGGACAGCAAGGCTGCAAACACCAGGATCCCTTGGGGTGAGGAGAAATGGTCCCTGAGGTGGTGGGGCTTGAATTTCTCCTTTCTGTGCTCAGGGATCTCCTGCAGCTCCTGGTCATGGTCAATGTGGCCAAAATCCCCAGAACACAGGGGAGTCCCCGTGCCTGCAGGGATTTAAAACCCTGAGGATGTGGCACTTGGGGACACGGGGCACTGGTGGCCTTGGCAGAGCTGGGAGTGGTTGGACTCGATGGATTTTCCAACCTGAATGACCCAAGAGCTCGACGAGAGCAGAGAAACTCGGYAGCTATCAATTATTAATTTATAAATATTTATAGAAATGCTGCTCGTGGGTCTTTGCAGACCTTTGGTCGCTGCCAGGAGCGAAGGGCAAAGCCACACCCGGGCAGGTGTGTCCTGTCCCTGCCCYGGGCTGGCACCTCTCCCTGGCACAAGGTCCCCTCAGCTGGGATGATTTATGGCCGGGGCCACCCCCAGCCCGATTTATCGAGGATTTATTGTGCACACAGAGCTTCAGGAGCGAGGAGCTCCTTTCTCACCTTGCCAGGACCTTGGCACTGACCCAGCGTGCCCAATTTTGCTCAGAGCACGCGTTCCCTGTGCCAAAGCTTCTGCTCCTTTGCCCCTCACCTGTGTGTCCAGGAGAAACCTTTCTTTATCCTTTAAAAAGAAAAAGAAAAGGGGAAAAAAGCCTCATTTTCCTTCCCAGCGTGATTTTCAGTCACACTCCGTATCTAAGAGGTGCTCGTGGAGATAAAAAAGCGTTTTGAAGAGGGGATGAGGAGATACAAGAGGTGAATGTTCACCGTTTATGTCAGGAAAATGAAGTTTGAAGATGAAAGGAGCCGGCACTTCATGGGGCTGCGATGCCGCGAAGGAACCGAAGCCGAGGGATTTTCCATCGCGCTTAAAAGGGTTTGAGGGCAGAGAGGGGAATCAAATGAAAATAAAAGAGGCTTTTTTGAGAGGTGAGAGTGGCACAGGTCAGCAGGATCGGGGCTGTTCTCTGCTCGGAGGTGCCCAGGAGGTGCCCAGCCGGCGACCCCTGCTCTGACCCCGCTCCAAACATTTCCCGGTTTTTCTTCGGCTGCAAAAATTTTCCCCCAATTTCAGCGTTCATCTGTCCCTGTCGGACCCGGCCACACCCCTCCCACGGCTCGGAGCAGCTTCGTGGAGGAATGGGGGCGGAATAAGGCGGGAGGAGCAGGAATTCCTGCTCCGGGATTCCCATTGCCTGCAGCTCGTGCTGCGTTAAAGCGCTGATTTGGGAACAAAATAAACGCGGCTTCTGGATGCCTGCTGGAAGGAAGAACGTGGCTCTGTCAAAAATCAGTCTGGAGGTCTCTCGTGTGCCCGCAGACACTGAAAATTCAGTGTATAACGAGCACTCACCTGCTCTGATGTGAGCTGCGGATCAAAGGCGCTACAACGCGCAAAAATCCCATTTAAACGGGAGTTCACGGTGTAGGTGACTGACCGGGCTGCCTTGGGATTCTCCCTCCCAATGTTCTGTTTCAAATTCAGGGCAGGAATTCCCTTCCCGGGCACAGAGAGCCGCTCCCAGCCCAGATGCTGCTGCCGGGGATGGGATGGGATGGGATGGGATGGGATGGGATGGGATGGGATGGGATGGGATGGGATGGGATGGGATGGGATGGGATGGGGCCTAGGGGAGCGACAGCAGAGCGCCCCAAAGAGCAGCCGAACATCCCTGCACGGATAAATTCCTCCAGCCCCGGCCCGGAAGGCACGGGAGGGGTGAAAACACAGAGAGCTGTCCCCAACTGTCACCCTGTGCTTCCCTAAAGCTCCCCGGCAGTGCTGAGGAGCGGCACAAAGCGCTGCTGTGGTGTGGGGTTGGAATTTTTAGGGCGCACGGAGAAGCTGCGGCTGCCCCTGGATCCCTGGAATTGTCCAAGGCCAGGCTGGAGTGATCAGGGATGGTGGGAACTGTCCCTGCTGGAACTGGATGGGCTTTAAGATCCCACCCAACCCATTCCGTGACCCTGTGAACGATTCCATCCCGATTCCAGGCTCTCCTCCTTTCACCCCGCACCCAAACCCGCCCCGGGGCTGTCGGGGCAATATTCATCCTCAATTCTCTGAAACCCCCGGAATAAAAATCATTAGCGGTGTCTGTGATCCCGAGCTCGATTGAGACCATCGATCGTGAATCCCGGCAGCTCTGCCACCAGCAGGG